CGCCTCGTAGGCGTGACAGTTGCCAGAGTCTCAATGGGGGTTGGAGCTTCCAGATCCAAGCTGGAATGACTACCCACTACACAACTTGGCCACACAATGAGTTTATTGGGTTCGCTTACAGAACTTGGGTGAGGGGTTATTATAGGAGAATGAGTGCCCCCCCCCAAACAGCTGCATTTTGTACAGCCTCACCTCATCATGGATAATGACCTGGTAAAATTGCATCATGGAGTTCTCTTAGTTAACCTACCTCTTTGTATATGCTGAATAGGATTCTTATATCTATTATATTCTATATCTATTATCTAATATATATATGTGTGTGTGTGTGTGTGTGTGTGTGTGTGTGTGTGTATGTATATATATTCTAGTCTCTCACCAAATCACTTGCAAGTTGAGGGGGGGGGTAATGGTTGGAACCCAAGGTGAAGATCTTAAGACCCTTCTGTCTGTCTGTCCTTCTACTAAGGAGTGCTGATAGGTTCACTGGCATCCTTATAGACCTCACTGCTTCTGTACTGTTCCGTTTAATTAGTTACCATGGTTACCAGGCCACGGTGACCTCTAGTCCAAGATGGTGATTGGATGAGCATGTTATTTCTGGAGGAAAAATGCCATACGGCAACACTCAGTCTCCCTAGCAACTGGGACTACAGGTGTATGCACCAAGCCCAGTAGAAAAATCACATTTTTCTGTATTCAACCACCTTCTTCTCCAGGGCCTGCTTGGCCTAGGGGAAACTCCAATAGCTTCTCCATCTCAGGAGTGAGGATGGTGCCCACCTTCAGCAGACTTCTGCTCCTTCAGCTTCTTTCTCTTGAGATCTGCTCTCAAGGCTTGGATTTTATGGGGCATACAGGAGATTATCAGTGTTGTTCCTCTAAAAGATGACTTCTGTTATCCCTGTTCCTCTCTGTGGTGATTTGAATGAGAATGGCCCCACAGGCTCACATATTTAGTGTTTGGTCTCCAGTTAGCGAGTAGATCTCAACCTTCCTAAAGCTGTGACCCTTTGATACAGTTCCTCATGTTGTGATGACTCCCAACCATCAAATTATTTTGTTGCTACTTCATGACTGTGAGTTTGCTGCTGTTAGGAATCGTAATGTAAACACCTGTGTTTTCAGATGGTCTTTCACCCCTGTGAAAAAGCTGTTTGACCCCTCAAAGGGGTTGCGACCCATGGATTGAAAACCATTGAGTTAGTGGGACTGTTTAGAAAGGATTAGGAGGTGAGCTTGTTGGAGAAGGTGTGTCACTGGGGGTGGGCTTTGAGGTTTCAAAAGCCCATGCCAGACCCAGACTCTCTCTCTGCCTCCAAATTATAGACAAGGATGTAAATTCCCAGCTACTGCTCTGGTGCCATGCCTGCCTGCCTGCCTGCCTGCCGCCACGCTCCCCACAAAACTGCTCATGCTTTTACCCTCTGAGAGCGTCAGCAAGCCCCAGTGAGATGCTTTCTTTTATAAGTTGCCTTGGTCATAGTGTCTCTTGACAGCAATAAAAGGTAACTAAGACACCTCCTTAAGTTAGTTACTATGGAAAATGCTATCAAATGAATTTGTATTGCTCCCACAATCCAGAATCTCAGGCCAAAAATTGGGCCTTAGGGCCCTGAATGTAGGTCAGTGCTAATACACACACACACACACACACACACACACACACACACACACACACACACACACACCACGCACACACTGTAAAGACACTCAAATTATCTTTATCTCTCAGTAGGGATGTGGCACTAAGGACGACGTTACTATCCAGGTGTGTCACTCCCAGAGGTAGGTGGAGCTTTCTGAGTTCGAGGCCAGCTTGGTTTACATAGTGAAATCCTTTCTCAAATAAGCCAAAACCTCCAAACCAAAAGAACAACATTTTAAAAATAAGCATCAACTTGTCCCCAGAAAAGTCTCAAGCTAAGTGGCAAAGGTAACCCTGGGTGGTAGGCAAACAGCAGCCGTGGGCCTGCTTCCCTCCATCTTCCTTTGCGTGCCTGGAGACTGAACCCAGGTGAAATGAAATGTTTACCTGGGTTTGGGGTGCAAGTGGGGGGACACTGGCAGATTTCCTTTTGGGTAAGAGATTTATTAATGCACCGGGCAGGCAGATAGAATGGCTAGGGATGGAGGTGATTTCTGATGAGAGTTTGGACCCACAAGACACAGTAGAGGGGTCCCTTTTTGTAAACCTCAGAGGAAGGGAAAGGTTTCACATGGTCAGGCTGTCTGATTCTCCTGTGGGTGGCAGGAGAACGGGAAGGAGGGTCTTGCCAGGGAGGAATGTGTGACTTCAAGGGTAAGGGGGGAAACTGAGGAAAAGGAGCGGGCACACCCGGCTGAAGTGTTCCTATTATACAGGTTAGGGGGATGTGTTACCACCCGTAGTCCTCGGGTGTCCTGGAGTCCGGTAGTGGAGCCTGCAAACTTGGTTGGGGAAGTGAGAATGGCCTCTGACCTCTTCTATAATCCGCTGCACCCTAGAAGTCTGTTAAATAGGGGATTAGAGATCCACAGACAGGGAGTTTAGCATTTCCTCCTCCACAGCAGCCGGAAGAAAGAGGCTGCGGCAGGTGGGCGTGGCCTGCGACGCAGTCTGGTCTGGAGTCATGGCCCTGCTCAGACCAGGCACGCTCTGTCTCCAGTTCTGTAGCAATTGCTTTAGAGAGAGCAGATCTGGTTTGATTTCTCATTCGTCAGGGTCCTTCACCTGGGCAGTATTGATCCTGTGACTCTCTGGCTGGCCCCATGTGGGTTGGCTTCCTAACTGTGCCTCTTAGTTCTTCTTTTGCTGTTTGAAGCGCCGCCTCCAATTCCAGCTTCACTCCCAGGTTCTCTACTCCTGAGTGTTCGGGATGTTTTCCCCCTCCACACTTAACAACTCAACTTCTTGCTCCTTCTAGTCTTACCGATGTCAAGAGTGTCATCATTTTCTTTGGCTGGAAAGAGAGTTTGGCCGGGATCCATTACAGCAAGGGCTATGCGTCTTTGATCACTACTCAGCCTACGGTACTGGTACTTGGTACTTTGGTGTGTGGCAGTTCTGGGGAGTTAAATGTTTTTTCCTCTTTGAAGATTCAGCAAATGGTGGGCAGACCGGAATCTGAAGTGGCAAATCAATGTCTTGTGTGTGTAAGCATGGGAACCTCACAGAATATAAGATTCAAAGGGCCCAGGAACTTGTGGAATATCCTGAACTCCAGAGAGTTGGGGCTTCTAGAAGCAGGTGGCCAACGGGGGAGGGGGGAGGGAGAGAAGCACAGTTAAAAGGTTGTTTATGCTGTGCAGACTCTGGAATGTTAGCACTGCCCTCCGAAGAGTGGTGACAGCCTGTGGCAATCTAAATGACCTCATGTGGATTGTCTTTAGGCCGACATGTCTCAGCAAATGCCCCTGCCTGTTGCCTGCCGTACACTAATGGAGATAGATGGACATTTGTTACAAGGGGGATGGTTTTCAGAGGGATACTTGTGTCTGCCCTTCCTGTAAGAAGCCATCTCAAAATAGGACATGAAGCCTATTTTGGGGAGGCACGTATTGGTATGTTCTTGTACACACCATAAACATCGAGTACTAAATCCTTGAAAGACTGAAGATTAAACCCAGGGATGTGAACATGCTAAAGGAGCGCTCTCACCATAACTGGTTATTACCAGCAGGCCTTTGACGGGGATTAACCGCCCCCCTCCCAGTCTTTTGTTTTGGGATGTAATTTTGATTACATAGCCCAGGCCAGTCTTTGTTCTTTATTCAGCCTGAGCTGACTCTGAACTTTATATCCTCTTACCTCAGTCTCTTGAATGCTGGGATTACAAGTGTGTACTAATATATATATATATATATATATATATATATATATATACACACACATATATATATATATGTGTGTGTGTGTGTGTATAATTTATGCTTATATATTTATTTTCTATTACTTGAGGTTTCCTTCTTATTCTCTCTTCCTCCCTCCCATCCATCATTTATTAAATAACCTGGGATGGCCTCATAAAACTCCTCTCTCAGACTCCTGAGTGCTGACATTACAGGCATGTGCCACCACACCCAGCTTGAGGTTTTCTTTCTTTTCTTTTCTTTTTCTTTTTTCTTTTCTTTCTTTCTTTCTTTCTTTCTTTTTTTTTTTTTTTTTTTTTTTTTT